CTGGGAAGAGGGGGCACCGTGGCGGGGGGGGGAGTGGGGGTCCTGCCGCTAGGAAGTCGAGGGTGGAGGTGGGCACATTGCAGGTGATACGTGAACGAATCGACAAGCACGTTTGAGGTGTGCAAAGGTCTCGTGTATTTGGCCGGAAGCGCGGCATGGTCCACTGCGGGGGTGGGTAGGTATCAAGGGAGCAGGTAGCTCCTCACCGCCACTGATGCGCACACCACTTTTTGCCACGTCGAGTGCGCAAAGGCGCACAGTTCTTGGGAAACGGACGCATGACTCTCGGCTGTTGTCGCCTCTAACAAAACACCACCCCAACCAGATTTCGACCGCCCCCCGCCCCCCCCTTCCCCGCCCTCTCTACGGCCTACCTATATCCAAATCATCACCACGTTATCATGATCACCACCACCAACAAACACCAACGACAAACGAAAAGGACATTCTAATGGACAACATATGCCAGAGGATACGGGGCGGCGGGCAGCACCAGGCCGTCTCCTACGGTGGCCTCGACGCGGCCACCGGCACGCGCATCCTCCAGCGCCTGGCGGACCTCCGCGCCCTGACCCCGGCCATGCTGTCGGCCTTCCGCGGGTGCCCCGTGGCGGAGCTGTCCCTGGACCGAAATCCGAGGGTCACGAACGCACTCCTGGCAGAGCTCGGCCGCAAGGTAGGTAACTTATTCCAACCGTGTGGCTGCCGTGGTTTGATCCGGTGACTGATGCGTTTTTTTTAGGAGGTACCTTCGAGTCGCTGGAGGAGTACGTACCCGTTGTTCGGAGGTAGTACCATATTTCACTGAAAGACTATGTGTGCAGGTACCGGTTAGAGATATTGCCGCAGCTGCAATCAAAGAGGGATATGTTGAAAGTCTGGCGGTGAGTGAGTTGTTGACTTGGTTTTGTTTTAGGGGTAGGAGTGCTGTCATTTGTCAAGTTAAAACAGCGGCGTGCTTGTATCAGAAGTGTTTGGGCCGTGATCTCTGAGGCGTGGTATGTATGTCCTATCTGTGAAAAGCCGAGAGAAGGCCTGACGGATGAACCGCGTCGTTTGCCAGCGGAGCAGGGAGAGGGGGGGGGTGCAAGCCGTACCAGTTCCTACCGGTCCACCACCGCGGTATGCTGGATCCTTAGGTAGAGACCCTGCTTTTTTTTTGCTTCTTGCGGACCGGGGGGCCGTTTCGTCATAGTCGAGAACACCAGCGAGTAGCGCTCTGTGCCTCTTTGGCACAAAAGTAGATGCCACGTAAATCAGGGTTAGGGTAGAATACTTCGTACCGAGAAGGCTCTCAGCCATGGCGCAGCAACACCATGCTGTGGACGGCTATGGAGTTCTCGAGGTTGTTTCGAATCACCCAACCGCTTTTGTTGCGCGCGTTCGGTGTGCTTTCGCCAAGGTGTCGATCATGTCCCTTTCCCTGGCGCACAACGACGCCATGACGCTGGAGGGCATCGAGAGCCTGGCCGGCCTGAGAGCGCTCGCCAGCCTCGACATCAGCGGGTGCAAGGTACAGGGTACAGGAGGGTCGTCGGTTGTTGGTGAATGTGTGTCTCTCTCTCCCTCTCTCTCTCTCTCTCTCTCTCTCTCTCTCTCTCTCTCTCTCTCTCTCTCTCTCTCTCTCTCTCTCTCTCTCTGCCTGTCTCTCTTTCTGCCTTTCTCTCCCTCTCACGGCCCGTCTGTTTCCCTGTCTCTCCCTGTGCCCATCTCTCTCTCATTCTTGACGTGTAGATAATTTGCGAAATAGTCGAAACAGAATCACGCCTTGTGTTGGTGCATCCCACCGTTGCCCTAGAGAGAGTCGCTTTGAGATCCTCTCGGGTGTCTTGCACTCCCTGAATAGCCACAGGTAGACTACACTAAAACGGCGGCGGCGTACAAGTTTCAACCGCGCCGCAAGTGTTTCGGCAGAGTTTCCGCCATTACCAGGGGATGACTCAAATCGGGTTCCACCGCTGACTGCGAAACACTCCACAGCAGCGGTGTGTAGGTCGAAAAGGGTGTTTGTCGGTGTCCGTTGCGATGAGGGTGCCGCGGCGATGAACACGGCGGTTATGGCGCGATGCTTGTGTTGCTAAATAATTAATCGTCTAACCTGCTACCAACAGTCGTAAGATAGCCACGTAAGACTGCGGTCGCTGGCCTAAACCATCTTCTCTAGCTATGTAAATCATCATCTTTTTTGTGCCGCTTTTTCTCGCCGCCCGTCAACCGACTGACTTGACCCAAAACGGTGTTGATAAAACCACGGCGGCCGGCGGGGGCGGCGGCGACGCAGGTGACCAACGGGTGGCTCAAGGTCATCGCCAAGCTGCCTGCCCTGGAAACTCTCTTGCTCAGAGGCTGCACGAAGGTTAGTTAACGTAACGAGGTTTCCGCTGGGGATGGATGACGCACGGAGAATTTTCCTTCTTCTCGTACCTACAGCGGGAGATGTTTACAGTTGCTAGAAAGTTCTGTTCTATTCGGTTAGGGCTGCAAGTTGTCGTCTGTTTTGTTGGTGGTCAGGGTCAGGTTTTTGCCTGTTCTACCAGCGGCCTGTATCGTGTCTCCCCTTGACGTGGCAAATACTTTTGGCCTGGCGCCCGGGAATGTTCCGGGGCGATGATGATCGGTTGTACACACACGTTGCTACGACGAGATGTACATACACGTCGTCGAAGCAGAGAAGTGAGCGCCAGTCGAAACGGCCGCAGTTTTCGCACGTTTCGACTCCCTTCCGCGCACGTGTCACGCACCAAACGGTTACAACTGTGCCGCTCTCCCTTGGCCGTGTTTTCGCGAGCACACATGACATACACATCGCATCACGCCCCCTCCATTCATACCACGTAACCCCGCCCCGGGAACGTGCATCCCCCCGACCCCCCTCCCCTGCGAAACACGCTTTGACCTCCCCTACCCTTGCAAAACACGCCTTGTTGGCTGGTTTGTTTTTTACGAAAAACACTCAGGTTGCGGATCTCGGCATCCTGGGCCTTTCTCGGGGGGCGCCCTCCCTCACGTGCCTCGACCTGGCCGGCTGCACCGGGGTCACCGACGCGGGGGTGGCGCACCTGTCGTCGATGGTGGTTGGGGGGAAGCTGGAGTGTCTCCGGCTCGACGGGCTCGTCGGCTTGTCCGACGACGGGCTGGACGCCCTCCTCCTGGGGGATGGCGACGGCCTGGGGGCAGCAGCAGCAGCAGCAGCTGCCGCTGCAGCGGTGCCCGCGGCGTCAGCGGCGAGAGCTGCTGCGGCTAGGGCGGCGACCGCGAGAGCATCATCGTCATTATCCGACGGCGGCGGTGCTTCTCCTGCTGGTGTTGCTGAGGAGGAGGCACCGGCTTCGTCGAGTCTGCGGGTGCTGTCGCTGTCGCGTTGCCCGGGCGTCGCCGACCAGGGCCTCGCGCGCTTGGGCGCCTCCCGGCCGCTGCGGGCGTCGCTACGGGAGCTAGACGTCTCCGGCACGTCCGCCACCGAGAGCGGCCTGGTGCGTCTCCTGGACCCTTCCGCCGCCGCCGCCGCCGCGGCCGCCTCCGGCGAAGCCGGGCGGGGTGGGGCGGTGGTCGGGCGGAGGAGGCCGCCGCCGCTGAGGCTCGAGTCCCTGGTGCTGCAGCATGGCGGGGGGGGGATCACCAGCGTTGGGCTTTCGGCGCTGGTAGGGCTGACGAGCCTCACTCGGATGGACCTGGAGGGGTGCCGGGGTCCCGGGGTCACGTCTCAGGCTCTCGCGGGTGAGTAGGGTGATTTTGGGTTGTCTGTCCCCTGGCGAATGTTTTGTTGGGTGGTTGTTGTTCTTGTTCTTGTTCTTGTTCTTGTTCTTGTTGTGTTGGCGTGTTGGCGTGTTGTTATTTGTTGCTGTATAACGTCGTCGCGTGTAGGTGCTGCACCCGGGTCGTATCGAATGAGTGGCTCCCCCCCCCCCCTCCCTGTCAGACCGACGGATGAGTCACACCAAGGCGATCGACGATCTGATTGTTTTTTGAAACACCGCCCCCTTCCCCCCCAAGGTCTCGCCCGGCTCGTACGGCTGCAATGGCTGAGCGTTGCCGCCGTCCCGGCGTTCGACGACGACGCTCTGACAGCGGTGTGCTCCTCCTGCAACGCCCTAAGGGTTCTCAACCTCGGCAGCACCTCGGTGGCGAGGGCGGCGGGCCTAGCGCTTCTGGGGTCGGCCATGATAGACCTGAGCTTAGCCCACACCAAGTGAGGAGTATTGGTGTCAATCGCATGGCCTTCACCAAGGGAGTATTAGATCCATGCTTGTAGCCTGCACCAGGTAGACCTTGAGCTTATAGCCTCCACAAAGTGAATTAGATCCTAAACTTATGTAGCCTGCATGCACCAAGTAGATCTTGAGCTTGTAGCTTTCACAAAAATGAATTTATATCCTAAGCTTAGCCGTCACCGAGGGAGTAGAGCTTCTGGGGCCGGCCATGAAAGATCTACGTTTGTTCTTCACCAACTGAGTATTGATCTAAACTTAGCCTTCTTGACCAGGTGAGTACAGACGCAAGCTCAGTTTTCACCAAGCGAGTACATACCTAAGCTAAGCGTTTTTATTCTCGACGGCCATCTAACCTTTTGACCCCGTTCTCGCCCCTCCCTCCTCCTACCCCATCGACTCAAAAAAACCAAGCATCGACGACGACACCATGGACGCCGTCGCGTCGCTGCCGCGGCTGACCACGCTCACGCTCAGGGGCACCGCTGTAACCGGGGCGGGGGTCGCGCGACTCTCCGGTCTGCGGGGCCTCCGTTCTTTGGTTCTCACTGGCACCCGTGCCGCCCAGGAGGGGGGCGCTGGCGGCGGGGCCAGCTCTGCTGTCGAAAGACTTAGGGCGAGGACGGCGGCTCTCAACATCAGGCTCTAAATAGCTTTTTTTCCCGCCGAGGTTCGTTTGTCATTTATATGTTGGTCCGCCTGTCCTGCCTTGTCTTCGGCGTGTGTTTCGCATTTTTCGTTGTGTAGTTTTTTTTTGGTTGCTGACTTTTTGCTGTTGTCGTATCTCGCATGTGAGCCCTGTAATATTGTTTGTTGTTTGTTGCATGCGAGCCTTGCGCTCCTGGAGTAGTTCTTTTTCTTGGATCTCACCTTGCTCATGACCACTCAGATTGTTTTGTGTTTTTTCTTTCCTTGAGACATCAGGGAAATAGCGTTACTGCCTTTTGGGGCACGGCAGATGCTTCCCTCTGAGAAACCTGTGGTTGTAAGCCGTCTGCATTCATTCCTAGACGCAACACGCGTGTTGGAGGATGGTCGGCAGAACAAGAGAATGTAGAAAATTCGGCGGGGTACGCCGAGGGCCGGGCACGCTGAGGGTGAGGGACGCTGAGCGTGGGGACGCTGAGCGTGAGGACGCCGAGGGAATTGGGGGCAGGGGGTTGACCACGGTGGACAGGAAGTACGTCGCATGTCCGGCTAACACGGCGTCGGGGGGTGGGGGGTGCGTGTATACCTCACGGCGTTGATTGGGCGTGAGCAGGGTCACGAGTAACCCCTTGTAAAAAGGGGAAGCGAGTAGAGGGTAATCTCCCATGGTGGAGGCCCAATCAACGCACTCATCACCAGGTACCTTATAAAATGTGGTCTCATGGATATGGTGTGAGTAAGTACATGCGCCGGATGCGTGCATGGTGTTGTAGATATCCCTCGGGGAAGATAAGTGCTGGGAGTGAAGAGTGTGGTGCAGACGGACGAGCGGGTGGCCTAAGGAGAACCGGCATCGTTGCCTGTATAATAGTAATGAGAGGCAAGCAACTACGAAACTTTCTTTGTGATCCTGATTGGTGCGTCCAGAAATTGTGCCGAAAGGTGCAAAATAGGGACAAGCATTCAGAGTTCGTTTCCCAAGCTCGGTAGAGCTTGGGTCTCTCTCTCTCAGCGTAGTCAAGACTTGGTTTCCCGCGTCGCTTTTTGTTCGCATGGATGGCCGTCCCCTTGACCGGTCGGGTCTCAACAGCCGGTCTCAGCTGACTCTGCGAAACCCGGGAAACACGAGCAGTTCGCTCTAGCTGAGATGATTTCAAGACTCTCACTGCTGTAGATTGAGAAACTGTCGCTTGCGGTGGCGTGAGGACTGGTTTGTTTCTGCGTGTTTTCGTACGATGGTCATGGTGGAAGCAGATTGACTACAACTGCTGTGCCGAGGGTCCTTTCGGTCCTGTCAACAAAAAAAAAGTCGTTATAATATGCATCGTGCACATCTAAATTTATTTATGCAGCACGCGTTCTGCTTCTTTCTACAGCTGCCGCAGCCCATCACCCAGTTACCGTTTGCTTGTCTGTGGGTCGTGATAGGACTCTCGCAGATAAACTAGACTACAAGCAGCTGCGAAGCTGAGGTATTTTCACGGTGACCTCGAGTGTTTTCTTCGGCGTTTTGGGGCAGAACAAGTTGGTGCATTTCTGGCGAAAGGATGTCGACACGAGCGTGAGCGTCGAGGATAATGACCGACCCTGAATTTGTTTGGCGACAACAAAAGTGTTTCAGTCTCATCATAAGTTTTTTTGGCCTTGCAGCGTGGTCTTGATTGATGGGGAGTTCTGGCTGCTCCAAGTGTTTCAGTCACGGATGGATTTGTCTCTCCTTGTTTCCCCGAATCACCCGGGGAGGGATCCAACCCCCCGTGACCACTCCGTCACACCACCAAAACCACTGCCACATCACATGTCCTGTATCCACCTCACCGCAGGCCTACCTATGCACAAAGGTCACGTACGTCATTTAGCCATCGAGGGAGTGTTCTCTAAAGACATATCCCAGTGTGAGGTGGCGCCGACTGACAGCAGAAGAGGGGTGGACGGTCGAAGGACCCGGATCCGACGGGTGAAAGTTTCGAAGCCGGCCTTTCATTCTACAGCCGACCAGGCACGGACTGGCGAACATTAGCATACTAAGGCATTACAAATGTGCGTACGACGGGAAGACTGGTCATGCTCAGACACGCCACAGGTTGCGTGTTTGCTGCACGCCATGGTTTTTACATTGTAAGGTCAACACCGTTGGCAAGACCGTTAGCACGGCAGTCAACCTCAATCGGTGGTCCCGCACAGCATGCTGGCCAGTTTCGTCGTGTTGGCGCAGAACAAATTGGTGAGTTTTGAGCGATACGTTATAGAAACAAAGGTGGGCATCGTGGACAACAGCAGACGACCCTGGAATTGTTTGGCTGGCATTCTTTCCCCAAAGTCAAACAAAACACAAAACACACTCGGGGGCGTATCCAAACAACCCCCCCACCACAACACCACAACACCACACACCCGACACACCACCAAACCACCACCACCAAAACCGGAACCGGGACATTATTACCACCGTACCCTATATCCACCTCGCCGCAGGACACGTGTTCATGTCAGTGAAGACATGGCCGTGCTGTAACGGTCCCAAGCATGTTGTCTGTAGTCGATGTCGACAGCATGAACCAAGTTTGGCACGATCCACGATCCATGATCCGACAATGACGGGTAAATGTTCATCCGCGTTCGTTCATCCGCGATCCGGGGTGATCTTTCATTCCACCGTGCACCACCATGGTATCCACCTCACCGCAACCCCAAACTACGTGCGTGTTGTGCGTGGTCCCTTGGCCAGCGAGTGTGCTCTGAAGACATATGCCAGTGTGGTGGCGGTCTCAAACAACATGCCCTCAGCAGCAACAGAAGTAGAGGGGTGGACGGATCCGCGGATGGATTCGACGGGTAAACGTTTCATTCTACAGCTGACCAGCGGTACAGCGGACCGTGGCGTAGGCGGACATAAATGTTAGGATACCAAGGCATGCGTCGCACAACGGGACCGTTTGGCCATGCTGATGCTCGGGCACACCACTACAGCCTGCCTGGGTGATTGCTGCACGTCGTTGTACATTGCAAGATCGAACACACCATTCATTGGCACGACCGACCGTTGGAACGGCAGTCAACCGAGGGGTGCTGACGACTTTCCTGAGTCAACCTCAACCTCAATTGGTGGTCCCGCACAGCATGCTGGCCAGTTTCGTTGTGTTGGCGCAGAACAAATTCGTGAGTTTTGAGCGATAGGGTATAGAAACAAACGTGAGCACCGTGGACAACAGCAGACGACCCTGGAATTGTTTGGCTGGCACAAAGTGTTTCAGTCTCACAGATTTATTTGTCTCTTCCAAGGGGTGGTCTTGATTGATTGGGAGTTTGGCTAACACAAAGTGTTTTAGTTTTCAGCAGTGGCTGTCTCTCATTCTTTCCCCAGACTCAAACAAAACACAAAACACACTCGGGGGGGTATCCAAACAACCCCCCCACCACAACACCAGAACCGGAACCGCGACATTACCATATCCTGTATCCACACCTCGCCGCAGGACACGTGATCATGCCAATTGGCCAGCGGGGTGTGCTTTGAAGACAGACGTGCGGCCGTGCTGTAACGGTCCCTACCTTAATGTCGACAGCATGATGAAAGAGCGGAAGTTTGGTACATGATCCATGAGCCGACGGGTAAATGCTCATCATCCGCGATCCGGGGCGATCTCTCTTTCATTCCACAAAAAAAGTATGGTATCCACCTCGCCACAGGCCTTCGCATGAGGGTAAGTACGCCACCGAGTGTGGACAGCCGGATCGGTGTGGTAATTGTCCGAACCAATATCATGCTCTTAGCAACATCAGGAGACGGGTGGACATGTGGGCATATCCAATCCGGATCCGACGGGTAAATGTGTGTTCATCCGGGTCTCCAACCCGATCTTTTATTTTACCGCCGACCATGTACGCAGGCGGACGAAGCAATACCAACGGATGTGTCGCACAACGGGGACCGTTTCGTTTGGCCATGGTCATGCTCGCAAACACCACAGCATGCATGTGTGCTGCACGCCACTGCTGTGTTGAGAGGTCGAACATTCCAAGCGGCACCAATTCCGTGTCGCTGACGAGGAGTCAAGCAAAAAACGCATGCCGTAGTCGTGGTCCTCTACCACATGTGTGGCTTGTTTATGTTCAGGTACAACTGCCGGGTTCCGCAAGGTTAGTCACATTTTGATTTCACGGGGATTTCGTGGCACCCCTTTTACGGCAGACAAAAAAAAACAAATCGACCAAAACAGGCGCTAAATGACCCCCCCACACACTACCCCTCTCCGCCGGCCATTCTTGTCCTTCATGTGGCATGGCTTAGGGTGGGGTATGCATAGAATCAAACCCAATCCACACCGCATTCCGCTGCGAGAGATGGCCAACCAGCTTACGGGACGGAACTTGCCCCGGTATTCCCGTACCACGGTAACCGCTTCCCCTGCTTCTTCGCTATACCCCCCCGAAAAAATCAGCCCCCCCGCCCGGCATGCAAAAAAAAAATCCAGCCAAAAACTTCTCCCACCTCAAAAAACCAAGCCCCCCCCTCCCCATCGCCTAAAACAGAAACTACCAAAGGGAAAAAGAAGTTGTTATTGTGCGCCCGTCTTGACATCCACGAAGAGCCGTGTCGGTTCCGGCGCCCCGTTCACCTCCCCGTCCGTGGCCGCCTTGACCCGGTTCTTATTCCAGTAGGAAGTGGGGTACACCAGCTCCAGGTCCGCCCTGCCGCGGTACTTCTGCGCGATGTCCCTCACCTGTTGAGTCACAGCGGCGGAGAGCAAACAAAACAGTACGGTGTGGTCATTCATCAAGCCGGAGAGAACGTAACTACAAAGCGGTGAACACCACCAGAAAGGTGGGTTACTTCTTGATTAATTCCGCACGTCGAAAATAACAAACGCGTGGACAGCAGTGTGATGTACAAGGCGGTGAACACCATCAACAAATAAAGGTTGTTTCTACACAAATTCCGTAGGCCGGAATTGACAACGTGGTATGGCGAACTTCAGAGCGAACCCTGGGATAAAAAGTTAGAAATATGATTCGGAACACATTGGGCGAGAAAGAACCGCCTCCTCCCCACCTCTTCAAAGAGAATTCCGTATGCATAGGTCGCAATTAACAACGTGGTACTGGCGAACTTCAGAGCCAACTCTGCGACAAAAAGTGAGCAACATGATTCGGAACACATTGGGAGAGAAAGAACCGCGCCTCCTCCCCACCTCTTCCAGAAGCGTCCCGTCCAGACTCTTGAAGTCCACGCCCAGGTTCCCGAACTTATCGTTCTTAACCTCCAGCTCGTTCTCCGCAGCCTCGTTGCGAGGGTTGGAGATGAAGTCGATCTTGGTGCCCGTCTTGTCGGCGATCATCTGGGCGAGGTCTCGCACGCGGTGGGTTTCCGCCACCTGGAGAAGAAACAAAAAAAGTGAGAAAAAACGGCAGAGATGGAGTGTGAAGCGATGCCGGAAACAAAAGTATTGCACGTCCAAATGATAAAGGCTGGGAAACAGCCGCTCCGAAGACATTGAAAGGTGCAAGACTTCCCACCGGAGTGGTTTAAGAGGGCACCGCGGCAAGGGGGTGATGCGAGAACATGCAAAAAGCAAACAGAGGAAAACAACAGATGTTGTATGCAAATTGACAAGAATAAAGTTTGCTTCATTATTGGGAGCTCGGCGCGAGCTTTTTCTTGATAACTATCCTTCTGTAGGAATTTGGCTGCAATAACAACCCGTGAACAACTTAATTGTTTCGCCCACATGTTAGGCCTTGCCCCATTCTGCTCTGGCATCAAAAAGCAGAAAACCATACTGTATACTTGGGGGCAGAATTCGAGCATATATGACCGAATTGAGCATGATTGGCGAAAGATCGAGCATAAATGGCAGTTTGGGGCATATTCTTGAGCGTCGTTGACCCCCCAAAAAAAGGATATGCTCAAGGAAAAAGAGGGGCAGAAAAAAAACAAAAAAAAAACAGAATGGGGCAAGGCCTACCACATGCACATCTCTTGAGGGCATCCCACCCCGTGTCCTAGTGCTCACCCATCTCTGCGCCTCTACACCTTGTTAGCTGCTAGCTACACCCAGAGAGCTATACACCACCATCACAGAAGTGTCCTCACCATCTTATGTAAAGCCGCCCAGCCGAGGTGTCGTATCGCCTTTGCCTCATGCTCGGGTATATAAAAAAAAGCCTTGTCTAAATATTTTCTGGGTTATTCTTGGTTGAAAGCCCGCATGCCGCCGCACACGTACGTGTGCATGCCAACGTCGGTCCCAACCTGAGGCTCGGCGGTCTGCGCGGTCTGCATTGCTCTGCAACTCTGCTGACACCGCCACGACATGGCTCCAAAGCTGGAAAACTACCTGTTTCTGCTTACCGGTTGCAGCTGCTGCAGCTGTTCACACACAACGCTAACGTGCGGTACTTGCTCCGTTGACATGGTGTTCGACACTGACGTACGTAAATAGTCCTAAACGCCCAATGTAATTCTTGAGATGCTGGGGAAGGATTTTCAATTAAAAATCAGTAGACAGTCTTATATATAGTAGGGTGAAAAACGGTAAGCGCAAAAAAAGTGTGACGACGCCGGGAACAAGAAAAATATTGAAGGCGTGAAAATAGCAGAGGCAAAAAGCAAGTGAAATGACCCAAGGAAAAACAAAACAAAAAAACGGTCGGCCGGCCTGCCGGCGAAAAAAAATGAACAATTTGCCCACGTACGGAGTATGCATGTTGAACAAGCCACGAGGAAGAAACGCTCGGCAGTAGATCACGGCAACCAAAATAAAAGACGACATGGGTATGGCAAACAACAACAAAGTGCGACCAAGGCTAACAACGAGATCGGCCAAGGGAACAGTACTACAGTCACCATACATACGACGACGACGACGACGACAGCAAAACGACATATTCTACAAAGGGACAAGCAAACACACACAACGTCTTGTGCCCGCAACCTGCCCACGACAGACCGCGATGCACACTCTCTCTGCTTGCTTGAGAAGGGGCAAGCAAACGACAACGTGTGTGCCTACAACCTACCCACAAGAAACCTCTCTACACGTACTTGGCACATTTTGCGCTTGCTTACCTGGTTGAAGATCTCGACGGGGCCGTTCGCTGCCGGGGGGTTGACCACCGCCGCCTCCAAGCACTTGGCCGTGTCGGTGACGTGGATGAATCCTCGAGTCTGGCCTCCCGTGCCGTACACCGTCATTGGGATGTCCAGGGCCGCCTGCATGAGGAATCTACATGAACGGCGGCGGCGAGAGAGGGGGGGGGGGTGTACTCATAGTCGTGCATGCCGTAGTCGTTAGACCATTGACCTCGCATCCCTACAAAGCCGGGACGGAGCACGCCGGGTTCTCACCGTGACCAGGCTCTCACATCACCAAGCGCGAAGCGCCGTGAGGTATTTGGGGAGTCGCATGAAGGGTGAGCTGCATCCTGCTAAGGGTGTTCGGCATCTTGTGCTTACTTCCTTGCGTACGGATGACAGCTACGTATGACTTAATTTATTTTCTGGTGCTTTCACTTCCAGAGACAGTTGTAAGCACTGTGTAACTGCCTCGAGGAAGCTTGACCATTTTAACACAACGTGGTGCGATCATCCCCCGTTGCGCGGGGTGAGGTTTCTCGACCCCGCACAACATGATCTACTCGACCACCATTATGGTTACCGCCAAAAAAAAAAAACCGAGGTAAAAAAAAAAACGGTAACCTGGTTGCCGAGTTCACGAAGTGAATTGGCTTCTTTTACAACGTCGTTGCCAAGCGACGAAAACCCAACCCCGATGGCAAACACCGAGTGGGGGGCTTGTTTTACAACGTCGTTGCCAAGCGACGAAAACCCAAACCCCGATGGCAAACACCGGGGGGGGCGGCTTGTTTTACAACGTCGTTGCCAAGCGACGAAAACCCAACCCCGAGGGCAAACATCGGGGAGGGGGGGGGGGGGGGGGGGGG